AGCAAAAGGAAAAAATACTAGATCAGTTATGTCAATTAGGTGCAGCACTGTTCCCGTTTTTGCTGAGGGGGGCGGCGTCCTCTCCCATCTAATTATTCACACGGTGTCCGTGGGCCCCCCCACCCCTTGCAGTTGTGCGCAGACATAAAGGGCTTTCTTAGAAGCTCCCGGTGGACTCTAACCTGCCTCCGTCCACGTGTGACTGACACATCAGCCCTTGAAAGTAGAGGAGACGCCCTGTGTTGGCTCGTCCTGGGGGACACAGTGGAGGGGACACACGGCAATGCTCTTACCTTAGGGCACAAATCCATTGGCCCCGAAGTGCCATCAATTAAGTGGCTATTTAATTCCTGATTCTAGTTAAAGGGCCCAAATTTCCAAGGTGCCTTTAAGGACTCTGCACTCAGTGACAATGACGTATTTCCTCGCAGACGGCCACCAAGCAAATAATCACGCACAGTGCTGGACATGACGCTCTTCCTCCCTCCTCTCCCTCCTCCTCTCATCGCCCTCTCGTTCCTGTAGAGACAGCTGAGCAGCAGCGGGGCCCACCGGGGACCACAGGCCCGTCACCTTCCTGAGTCTTGCCTGCCTAGCTGAGTGACCTCCTGCCAACTCCAGGGCCCCACCCACGCCTCTGTCACCTGTATTTTAAAGTGAGGGTGCTTGGGCTAGTCATCTCCCAAGCCCTTCCTGCCCTTGGATTTGAAAGGATGGTAATTTCCCCTCAGGCTAAGGCGGAGGTGATTTTGAAAGAGAAATACAAAAGCATTAAGTAGATCAGGAAATTGATAGTGAATTGTTTCAATTAGATTCAGGTGCCAGCAGGTGTTAAATTACATCAGCATAACCAGGCTCGGGTGTGGGGTACTTATCTCATTTGAATACACAGACACCAGGATAGTTGCCACTCAGTCCAGCTCGTCCAAGGCCCCTACTGCACGGGCCCTCATAAGCGTAACTTCTGTTGGTCCTGAAGTTGGAGTGGGCTTCTGTCCCAGCCCCACCTGCTAGCGTTTCTGGGTGCCCTCAGGACTCAGCCTGCCCCTCTCTGGGTCCCAGGCCTGCCATCTGGAAACAGGAATAGACTCATCTCCAGCCCTAACCTGTGTTGTGCTTTCTCAAATCACCACTTACCTTTGCAAGGCCAGATGTATGTCTCAAGTGTGCCCGTGTGGGGCACACCAGGTACTTAAGAGTACGGCCTGCTCAGCGGCTAGACTGAGAGGTCCTGTGGGTCAGGACCCCTGGTGCGCCGGGCACTCCACCTCTGGCGTGGGGTAGGGCACCCACTCTTCTGAGAAGCCCCTGACAGTGGTGGTGGTGGTTGCAGGGGCAGGAAGGGGTGATGGGAGATGGGCATTTCATTCGGAGAATAAACCTGCTCAAACATCTCAGGCAGCTGACCTGGAAACACCCTGCTTGGCAGGATACCCAAAGGGTCAAGCCCATTGGCCTGGTTGCCCCCAGGCTGCAGGGAGGAGGGAGAAAAGGCAGGTGAGTCCCAGGAGGCATCTCCCTTCAGCTTCCTTCTGCAAATGGCCCTAGGGCCTGGCTCCCAAGCACGGGACTCAGGGGTGGGAACAGTGCAGGGAGAGCCGCTCCATCACGCAGGCCCCATCCCTCCAGGCTCCCTGCTGTGCAGCGCCGAGCTGAACCCCACCAGGGCTCTGAGCGCCTGAGAAGACTGCCTCTTTAAGAAATTATCTCATATTTTCAGAAATGGGCTGTGAAAATTCTAAGTAATGGTGTGACATGATCACACTCACTTTCTGCAGTTAATCCCTCACTAGGGTCAAGGCCCTCTCTCCTCAGTGGCTCTGTGATTGTCACCTACCTTGCACAGCCCTGCAGCCCCGAGCACTGTCTGCGGGATGACAGGCAGGCGAGCTGAGCGCGGTGCAGGAATAACTGAGTTAGGGAAAGGCTGCTGGCACTGTAATAAAGCGTTTAATGGACAGACAGCCTCTCTTGCCTTCCTTGGGGTAACACTAACTCCCTTTTTATTGTGGTTTGCACAGATGTTAGTGAGTTATCCCCTTCTCTAATCACACGAGAAGTGGGCACATCCATCTTAAGTAAGAGGACCAGCCACTTGCTCTCACCGAGTCCTTTTTCTAATAAACTTGTGTCAGATTCGGGTCAGTTTTACCAATACAAATAAAATTCAAACAAAAAGTATATTGTCTCATGATGAGATCTATGTGATTATGTCCCTTACGTCACTTTAGATTTACACAGGGAGCTGTACCCTGCAGAGCCCTTGTTGGAGCTGGATTGTCCTGCAGTCAACTCCGGGACACACACATACCCACCCCCACTCCCCCCACACCTGCACACACCCATTCACGCACATACTCATGCACACACACGCACACACACGCTCACACACACATACACTGGCACGTTGCTCAGTAGTGGGTCCCCCAGTTACGGCAGAGCCTAAAGTGCCGGGTGGCCCCAGCTGAGGTCCTAGGGCAGCTGGCCTGCGGGTGAGCTGCTCAGGTCCTCCCTGAAGCAGCCCCAGGATGTCACAGATTTTTGCTGTTGTGGTTTTGTTTTTATGACTTTTTTACATAAAATATGCTGTCTCTTTAGGCCAACGTGCACCCTGTTGTGGGTTATGGACCACCCAGAGATCTTTCTGCAAAAGAAAATTTTTCAAAAGAGGACCATGGAGCAAAAAAAAAAAAGTGTTTGTTAGGAGAAGGGAGTAAAAAAACCCTCACAGGCCAAGGTGCTCCCAACTGCAACTTGTGTGGATCTGGGAAAGGTCACCTGAAGTTCAGGCCAGGATAAATAGCCTCCGTGTGAACGGCTCCTTCTCCCTGACCGTGGGCTTGGGGCTCACAGCAGCAGCTGAATCGTGATGGATTGGCAGGCATGGGAAGGCGGAGGTGGGGACGGGCAGGCTGCACTTCTGTTCCCAGGGCCCAGGGTGCAGGCTGAGGTTCCCGGGCTGGGAGGACCTTGGAAACCAGGTGACAAAGCCGCCTCTGTTCCATGTCCCGGAGGCCCATGTCTCCCACGGGGCCCAGGCCCAGGCTGCCTGGTCTTTGTGCACAGAATTCCTACTCTCTGCCCCCCCAAGCAAGCGAGAAGGGCTCTCCGTGCTGTGCTTCCCAGTCCAGCCGTCCACTTCATAAATCAAAGACGACGGGCGGCGCCTTAACCATTTGGTGTCCTGTGTTAGTTGGGAGGGAAACCTCACTGCGGCCGCATGGGGAGGAGGGGGCTTGGGGACACGGGCTACCCCGAGCCTGTGAGCCAGCTGCTGAGACCACAGCTGAAAGGAGACACAGGTGGCCCCGAGGGTCTCTGAACTCACTCGCTCGTCCCCCCATTACCGCAGAAACTGTCTCTTTGTCTGTCCCTGTCTCTGTCCTTCTCGCTCTACCTCTATCTATTTGAGAGAGAGGTTGCTCGGCTGACTGTGAGGAAATGGCCCGCGTGATTATGGAGCCCTGGGGTGTCCTTCAGCCTAGAGCTGGAGCCGATGGCACAAACCCAGCCCGAGGGCAGGAGCAGACGGGATGGTGTGAGGCAGGAATAAGGGCAGCTTCCTTCCTCTGCCTCGCATGTACTCAGCCCCCCAGTGGCTGGACAAGGCCCCCCGCACCGGGCAGGGCCTCTGCTTTACTGTGCACCAGGTCAGACGCCGATCTCTCTTCCAGAAACTTCCTCGAAGACACACCCAAAACAAGCCTTAATCTGGGCTCCTCCAGGCCAGTCAGGTTGACACGTAAAATGAGCACATCAACCCTCGGCATTCTCAGGACCCTCTGAGCCACCTTCCCAGGCTTCGTGGCTCCGTGTCCCCACACCTGGGCATCACTCTCAGCCACCGGGCTGTTGGGAACCTCGGAGTCCTCATGTAGACATGGAAGAGGCCTGCTCCTGGCTGCTGGGAGGTTTACAGGGGCCTGGCCCCCCATAAGTCCTCAAAGGAGAGGGAACTGTTGCTTCACTTTCAGGAATCCCAGGTCTCCGGGCTCTCTGAGCACAAGGACTGACTCTCACGTGGCCGCTGTGCTTCTTGCCTCGCTGCCTCGCTGCTCTGGGTTGATGTCACCTAACCTCACCTATTGAGCACATGGCAAGTGCTCAGCACACATGCAATTTAGGGATAACAAAGAGATTTTATAGCACAGGTCGACTGTGAGCAGCTGCAAGCGGCTGCTAGGATAGGGGGAGTGAAAGGCTCCCAGGTTCCTCTACTTCAGGGGCCAAGAAATTCCATCATCAGAAAGCGCTGTGTGCCAGGGGCTGAGGGAGGCAGCCGTAGGACCCAGTTCTCAGGACCCAGGAAAAGAAGTTTGAGAAGAGCTATCGTCATTTATCCATTAACCTGTTCAAGTGCTGGAAACCGATTTTGGTGGGCCAAGAGGTGATGACCTAAACTACCATTCCTCGGACAGTCAGATCACAGTGGAACTTAATTGCCCTTTAAGAATGTCGTCATCACTTTCTTAAAAGTCTTGAATGCAGATTGCACTCGAGGTTGAATCTATTTGTAACTGGGTCTCTCCAGCACAGCCTGCTCTCCATGATGCTGACCGAGCCCCTCACGGGTGCCCGGCGCCGTGCAGGGCTGGCGGCGGAGGAAGGGTCCGTGCTGCCGCCAGGCACCCCGGGTAGGGGCAGTGTGAGGTCAGCTCGCGGTGTCACATCACTGCTCTCAGTACCTAATGATGCTTGAGCACGGCCACCAACTGTCCCTTTCTTTCAGGCTCCAGGACACTAAGCAGCATCTTCGACTAGACACACATGAAAATGACCCACAGATTCTGGAAATAAAACCCAGGCTGGTGTGCAGCAGGGTTGGCCAAGTATGGCCAGTGCGTCAAACCCAGACTCTCTGGGCTTGAAAGCTTTGCTGAGACTCAGGACATCCATTTGTTTACACACGTCTCTGGCTCAGGCCTCCATGGCAGGGTTGAGCTGGGACAGTGACCGGCAGCCTGCAAAGCCTAAAACATTTACTGTCTGTTCCTTTACAGAGAGTGTTTGCTGAACTCTGGCTGAAGCACAGGCAGCAAGGTTCCAGAAAAGCCACTGCAGACTTGAGAGGGTCCCACATGCTGACGAGGAGGCCAGGAGGCTGCCTGGCGCCGAGGCTGCAGGTGGGGCTCTGGAAAGTGTCCTTCGTGGTGCAGAAGTTGTGCTGGCCATGTGGAGGCCAAGTGGATGGCACATTAGGAAGAGCAGGTGAAGAAATAACACGCCGGCCAGGCGTTCGTGCCACCTAGTGTGTGTGCTTCGGGTTAAATATGCTGTGGAAGTCACCTCTGTGCCATGCCAGCGGTCCACTGTCCATGCTCGGCTGACCCTGGAGCCTCTGCAGCCTGTGGGTCAGAGTGTGAGTATATTGCCATTGTCCGGTGAGGGGGTCTTACCCACTCACCACTCCATTGCCAGAAAGTGCCTGCTTTCCCTTCAGCGTCGTAACCACAACACACAGGAACCTTGGCCCAGTCACTCCAGATAGCAGGGGTCCTGCCAGCCCCGCGCCCTCGGCCCAGCCACCCTCTGCTTCTTGCTCACGACTGGGGAAGGGGCCAAGGCTGGCTGCGAGAGCTAACCCAGGACACTGGAGAGGGTGCACTTTGTCTGTCGTGCCATGCTGGGGTTAACTCAGAAAGTGCTGCACTTCATCTTGTTGGGGAAAAGAGGCCCGTGGGCCAGTTGGCTTCGGCACTGATGACCCGGGAATGACTCTGCAGCACGAAAATCAGTCTCCAGGGGTGACCGCTAGGAGAGCCGGGCTCCCGTAAGGACCTTGAATGTGCAGGCGGATGATTACCCAGGGGAGAGCCTCGTCCCTTTGGATACAGGCAGGGCGGCTGTCTGACACCTGCCCATGCTCCTGACCGAGCAGGAAGGTGAGATGGGCTCCGCCCCACGGGTACCCTGGTTTCTATAGAGGACAGCAGTCTTTAGGAGAAGAAGCCCTCAGGGAGATGCAGTGCTTGGAGACGGGGTCGTTGTTCCTTCAGCTCTGCAAAACCTCACCCTCTCTGCTCCCAGCCTCTCTCTTAGTTAGCAAAATTTATTAAGCACCTGCTGTGTGCTAGACACGGTTCTAGGCACTCATAACACACTGAGTGCAACTGAGAAAGCATCCTGTCTTCTTGGGGTGCACAACCTGGTAGGAGGTAGAAGAAAAGAGCAGAGTATGTATGTGAAGCATCTGTTTGTGTTTACTGCATATCCACTGGGTGCCTAGGAGCTGAGGTTTCTACAGTGGGGTCCCCGACGCAGGAGGCGCCGCTCCAGCAGGTGGGCAGATGGATCAGAAGAGGAGGAGCGATGTGGTGGGTAGGTTGTGATTTTTGATGTGTCCTAGTGTGTCAGGGACAGCAGGACCTAGGCCCTCCACAGTGGTGTCGTTCGGGCTGGCTGGGCTCTGCTCTGGGAAGTTGGAGGAGGCCCCTGGGCTCTGAGGCTGGATCAGGCAGGGTGCTCCAGAGACTCAGACCCCATGGGAGGTAGATATGCCATATTATATGCACTGTCATAGGAGATTTGTTGTCAGAGACAGGACTCCATGCGCCTCGGTGCTGCTCTTGCCATCTGTGATCCGCTCCCCAGTGTCAGCACACCTACTGAGTCAAGTGGCGAAAGATCGCGTGACAGTCAACAAACTGAACAGGTGCATATCCATTGTATCTACTCAAGGGTTCAACAAAGACTGATTGAAGACCCAGTGAGCTGGGAGCTGGAACAGGAGTGCTACTAGGACGGCACGGCGGACAGCACTTTGCTCTCACAGAGCTTGCATCCAGGGGGAAGACAGACAACAGACAGCAGGCAACAGACGTCAAACTCAAGCAAAAGTCAGCTGGTAATACAGTCGTCTCGTCCCTCTGCCTTTTCTGTGGGGGAATGTCCCAAGTCCCTGACACCGTGGACAGCACCAGCCCTGTGTGTCCCGTCCTTTCCCTGTTCACTCATACCTGTGATCAAGTTTGGTTTATAAGTTAGGCACAGTAAGAGATTAACAACAGTATCTAATAATAAAATAGAGCATTATAACAGTAGACTGTGACAAGAGTTACGTTGATGTGGCCTTTCTCTCTCTCTCAAGGTACCTGGTTGAGCTGTATGTACAGTATGGAGGCCCTGGACAAGGGGTGACTCACATCCCAGGCGGACGGCTGGACCGTGCGACACTCCATCACTGCAGACAGAATGGTGCACAATTTAAGCTTATGAATGGTTTGTTTCTGGAATGTTCCATTTAATATTTTCAGACTGCTGGTAACTGAAACCCTGGAGGTAAAACCGAGGACAAGGGGGATGACCGTCATATAGAACAAAAAGTGAGAGTGCGGAGTGGCTGAGAGGGCCCAGTGTGTGAAGCCATTTCAGGGAGGGAGCAAGATCTGGTCAATTCTGGTCTTCACTGGGCAGCAAGTGGACATCACAGCCTTTAATATGTCCCAAAGACCTCAGTGGCATTTCATTCTCAGCTCAACTGGGTGTCCTTCCAGCCCTTCCTCCACTCATCCCCCACCCCCACGCCATCTCTAACTCTGACTGTCAGGTCGGAGGAAGATAATAGGTCTCCCAGCTGGGCTGGCAAAGGAAGGCGCACTCACCACACATGCACATGCACACACCACACCCATGCACACACCACACATGCACACAGATAGGCACACGTGCACACACCACACATGCACACACCACACATGCACACCACCACATGCACACACCACATATGCATACCACACACATGCACACACCACACATGCACACACCACACATGCACACACCACACATGCACACCACACACATGCACACACCACACATGCACACACCACACACATGAACACACCACACATGTGCACACACATTCACATGTGCACACATGTTATTGTTTGGGGGAATTTGGTTCCTATTTGAATGAAAAGACCAAGCTAAGGAACCAGGCACCCCGTTCCTGAGTCATCAGGAGGTTAGTGCCACTCAAAGCCCAATGGTGAGACTTTTCTCCCTCTTTCCTTTCTTTCTTTTTATTTTCGAAAGACAGAATTCTCAATCTGTAGAAATGTCTAGAGAGAAATTTACAGGCAGAATTGACTCTTTGTCTCTGTGAAGCCACGGAGGAAACAGTCAAAGTGATAATTGTATGCACAGTTCAAAATATTTTAAATGAACTTGTTCTTACAAAGAAATAAGTTATGAAGTTAACTTCTGTCGGTGTGCAAATAATTAAAGTATTGTCACCACTTTAAATTACCATCCATTGTTAAGTTACATCATTAAATCTTACCTCTTTGCTGCAGAATAATGAAAAAATGCACTTAATTAACAGTCACGGCGAGCTCCGGGCCGTTGATAACCGGCCGCCGTCTGCTCTTCGCCGGTGCGCCCGCTTCCCTCCCGCTGTCACACCCGTGGAGCCTGGTGGCGTGGGCCTGAACCCAGTCCCGCATCAGGGCACGCTCTCCGGCCACGGCCACGGCTGTCCTCCGAGCCCTCTGTCCCGGGGACTCAGCTTCTTTGCAGAGGGGCGCTGACCAGCCAAGCCCCGTGCTCCTCGTGGGATTTATAAACCAACTTCAGCCAGGGGATTGTTCCCAGGGTCCTCGGTGTGCGGCGCCCAAGCCCCTTGAGTGGGTCCAATAAGGGGGTGCCTCAGTGGGTCCCCAGGAAGAAGGTGGTCCTGCTCACGTCCTCGGTGTTTGCATTTTCTGGATACTGTTGAGCAGCGTGCCAGGCTGTAAGGGATGTGTGGCATTCTTCAGATGAAGTATGGCCAATCAGTGGAATAATGAGGGAAGTAACATCTCCCCAGAGAGGCTGGTGGGGTTCTCAGAACATCAGCTGACCTTTTTCCCATCATTCGCGGCCACCGCCTCGCCTTCCTCCCTTTGTCAGGCCTCCCGAGGTTACGCTGATAACCAAGTTCTCAGGGACCCGGTATCCATGGGCTCAGCGTGCCTCCTCTTCATGAAAAGTAATGTTTAACTCTTCTTTCCTTTTCTTTATGGATCAACTGCCCCTCAAATCCTGGAGAGGCTTCAGAACCAGAGGAGAATGGGGCAGGGGAGGGAGGGGCTGCTCCCGGGTGTCCTCCGTGTCCTGGAATGGGAGCTGGAGGTGGGCAGGCCCATCAGAATCAAGCCTGGGCAGGGACGGGAGGGTGCCCTGCAGAGGGACAGACGCAGCAGGGCTGTAGACCACTCTGGTCGTGTGGGTTTGCCCTCAGCCCTCTTCCCTGATCAGCCCTGCAAACAGTGGTGCCTAGAAGCCAGGTGGCTAAATAGGCCCTGCCGTGGTGTCTTCAGAACAGCAGGCATGGGCACGGAGGGTCAGCCACGTCAGCATGGAGCAGGTGCTGTGACACCTGGCTGTCGGCGGTGGCTGCAGGCGTCCAGTCTGTGGCTGGGTAGCCTCTGCATTGCTCTGTGAGCTAGTTTAGGTCCTTGAAGCTCCCGCCCAGTGGGGAGAGCAGATGCACGCCATAGGGGAACAGGAATATATGCATGTGGGCACCACGGTGTGGCTTTGCCACAGTGTCCTCTCCGCACCAGTGGCCTGTTGACTGTGAACCTTGTGGGGGACTCTGCAGGACATTGCCAGCAGACAGTGGGACACAGAGGTGTCTGTGCCCGGAGGCCCTCAGCGTCGCCTTGTCCACTGAACTCCTGGAGAAGCAAGGCTGACAGCCTCCCTGACAGGCTCCCCAAACCTGGGTTGTCTGCAGGCCCCAGGCCATGGAGCAGCTTCTGAATCTGCTCCAGCATCCGGGGGGCCATGGACTTCCTCTGCCGGGCCAGGCCGAGTCACAGGAGAAGGGAAGAAATCACGCTTAGCACGAGGAAGTTTTCCAAATCAAGCGGCTCATTCACGAGTCCTCCCACCCTGCTCGGCAATGATTCAAAGTCTCCACGTGATTTCATCGTACGGCTCTAACCCACTTACTTAATGAAATACATAATTAACATATTATAATTGCAGTAGAGATGGTTTTGACAGAAATCATTTCCCGTATCTAATACCGTGGTAATTTAATCTGTTCCCCACTCCCTGACACGACCCTCTATGATTAAGTTTCATAAGAATGTTTTGATTGATTGACTCATCTGACGGCCGGGCCTCGCTAAAGGAGTGTCTGTCAGTTCCGAGTGGCGGCAGATGGCTGCGGGCTCCCCGCACTGTCTCCCTGTGTGGTCCCTCTCACCAGTTCCCTTCCCTTCCCCTCCTCCTGCCCGGCGACCCACCCTCTACTCTGAACTGCCAAAGCTGGCTTGTTGTTATCAGTGGCTCCTCTGCTGGGAGGTTATTACAGGCAAGGAGGCAGGACAGCTGGGCGGGTGCAGCCCAGAAGCCAGCCTCCCCTCACCCTGGCTGTGCCCCTCCCTTCCCCAGCCCAGCCCAGCCTGGCTGCCCAGGGATGCTGTCCCTGGGTAATCTTACCCTACCCCCACCTCCCGCCCTGCCAGAGTCCTGCTCTGCTCCTGGGCACTGCAGACCCCTCCCCTGGCTCCCAGGCCCTGCACAGCAAGTGTGCACACCTGGGGCAAGGAGCGTGCCTGCAAGGTGTGAAGTCAGGTGGGC